CAAAAGCTATGAAAAATAAATCACTATCGTAACTCGTTGGATTTGTGTGTATCTCGGAAGATACATTCGTATAGATCAATATAAAAAAAATAAAAGTATACCCTGAGCGAGATAGTCGGAAAAATATGTCGGTGAATCGAATTGTACACATCATGTAATATGGAACATAGAAAGAGAGAGATAACTCGTCAAAAAGTGCGCCACAAGTGGCACGTTGCTTTATGACATCCATGTAATTATGAAAGGTAATGAATTGAACAAATAATTAGCTAAATCACAAGACACTCGATCAACGCAGGGTTTTAGATGACCTTGATCATCGCATACACGGAGGTCGATAATGCGTCAAGCTATAGCTTGATTAATCGCTTGATTAAAGGTCGCCAACCACAGAACCTTTAGATTACCATCGCCTGTGCTCGGAGCTAATTAACTCTCGACATGCACGACAAATCAATCGAGTCTTTCAACCGGTCTTAAATTGGATCTACACAGAAGCATCACGCGCGAGAGGATATTGAACCGAGAATGAGACGACAAAGTTCACATGAATATGGACAATGTGTCAATTCTTTAAAAAAGCTTGTGTTATAAAATGATTCGATTACCACCAATGTATACAAAATAAAAATTATTTCTTGTGTACATGTACGAGCATAATTTTATTAGTATATATAATGAAAGTGAATTCAATTTCATGAGATGCAATCAAATAAAATATTATTATTCTAGTGTTATTATTTCTATTTAAATAAATGTCACTTTCTTGAAAGTATAAGTTATAATTTTTTTAATTATAAAGATATTTATGACATTAAAAAAACTTTATTAGAAAAAAAATCCGATGAAACAATTCTGCTTAGAATTATATTTTTCTCCGATACTACTTTTTACATTGAATACGTTTAAACTGTTTTAACGAACTATTTTGGATAATTAAAAGCGTATAAAAACAACGCGTAAGAAAGGATAAATGAATAGCGTCACGAGATAAATTAAATTTAAAAAAAGAAGTGCTTTCCTACAGAAATCGTAAAAGCTCTCTGACGCCGGCACTTTATACTACGGCTTAACTATCCTTTGATATTATCTCCAGCCTGGTACATCTACTTTGTCTCTACCAACTCTTTACGACTTCTGGTCTCCTGTACTAATACAGAATCGAGGTTTGATCTCTTTGACGAAAAATACGAGCTAATTGGCGTATATTCTGCCGCGGTGGCATCAGGGCGTTCGTTAGTCACGATATTCCTAGGAGACGAATCCTGGAGAATCGCTTCTCTTTGAAACCATAATTATTGTCTTTCGTATTATTTCCTACCTCAAGAGAGGCGACCATGCGACGATAATTGCAACGTGCACCATCTTGTATTTTCTTTATTTGTTTCGTATAATTATGCATTAGTGGCGAAAGATCTTCACGAGATAAGTATATCTACGATTTACAGCGCGGAATATTAAGTTACTTATCGCACATCGCGTCTAATATTTATGTCCGCCTATTTTACATACGTTTATCTCCGAAGAAGGGAAATAAATACGCGCGCAATACGATGTTTCCGAGTATCATATATATATTTCATTCTGGTCTAACGGAAATTATTCGTAAAAAATCTCATATATCTGTCGACAAGTTCTCAATATATTGTGCTATAGGTATTCCGTTCATGTCATCTCCATGTAATTATTTCGGGCGGATTATGACAGACGGATATGATGGATATAAAGTTTCGCATTTCCGGATGATGCCAAATAGTTCGCTCGATGCGTTTCAACGATTCTTTACGTACTGTGTATTCATGCACGATAATACGGTTCGAAATGTACTGGTGTAACTACGCTAAACACCGCCTAATGAACGCATACGGGCGGCTCTTTGGCACAAAGGTTCTTCTCTCCGCTTTATATAAAGCACAAGTGAGTTATTTACATTGTGGTCGACAGAATTTCAAGCTGCGCGTGGTTCTAATGAACCTTTACCTCCACCTCCCATCTTTACCGCCGGCACCATCATCCCCCATCACACATATCGTCTGACCGAACGAGTTCATTCTGGTCCCGTCAGTGTATCCGGCCGTTAATTAATTAAAATCCGGAAGCAAAATCCGCATCGTCGCGGAATATTTTAGATACCTCGAAAGCTTTATGAGGAAAATACTTCAAACTTCCTGACGCATCCCCATCCTTTATTCGGTCCGCGTCTACGGTCACCCCCAGGGAACGAGGATTCATTGCGAATAGCTGTAGAACCTTCGCCGCACGAATATTTACGAAGGGTGGCCGCGAGTACGACAAAAAAAGGAGTATTTAATGAAATGTACGTACCAAGAAAGAAAGAGAGAGAAGATTAGAAAACGGGGATGCCATAAAAATCATAAAAATACCGCGAACCAGAAAATCGTAGAATCTCAATGATCAGCATTTAACCACTGCGCGCGTTCAATTTCCCTCGATGCTCACGCTGACGCGTATATTTTTTTGCGGCTGAAGTAGCCGCTCACTTGTAATTAATAGATTCACATTGCATATATTCGTTATATAGTTACAGTATTGATAAGAAAATATATAGAACCCGAGAATTTCAAAGAAAATATATCAACAGGAACAATTAAAATAGTGCTACAGTAGAAAAAATTTTGTAGAAAAAATATTACATGCATATCATTTAAAAATTATAGAATTACATTATAGTTGTGCTATAAAATTATTACAAATTAAAACTGTTAATTTTATCGATGATTTATCTATTAAATTATCATAATTGAAAAGCAGAATTATATTGCAGAATAATTTTTCATGATGATTAATCCATGTGATTAATATTAGATAATTTTGAAAGCATTAACAGCCTGATTGTGTCCACTAAAATGTAAATTTATTCACGTAACAATAGAACAACAACGTAATGCACTATGAAATTATGGTAATACGTTCCTGGGAGATCTATGAATACTCCGGCAATGGCGACAACCACTTTTCGAGATAACCTTCAGTTCCCTAATCTCTGTATTCGTCTTCATTCATTTTACAGTCTATTATTTTCTCTTTCTCTAACTTTTTTTTCTCTCTCTTTCTTTCTTTCCGTTTCTTTCCCTCATTCCCTCTTTTTCTTGCTCTCTCTTCTCTCTCTAGTAAGCTTGAGATTAAAGTCTTTTAATGACTACAAGTCGTATCCATGTCCAGCCAAATAATTACGAATATGAATCCTGACAAGCTTTAAAGCTCGAGATTTCATTCGACAGAGTTGCAGCTTGAAAAAATTTCGTGGATGTCAGGTAACTATCATTAAAAAAAAATAAAACATTATTAGGCATATGCGTATGCGTTAAAATTATAAATCAAATTCGGTAAAAATGTAATATTGGTTCTTATTCTTTAATGAGATAATAATATATGTTTTAATTGATGCATTTCTATACAACCAAAAGACAAATGAATTCTGTTGTCTCTGTATACATTTAGCATTTCAATCGAAGGAAAAGGGTGCAATTGCGTAGTAATTAATTACGCGCTGCAACTCGTTAAAAGAGTTCGTAAGATACCGATAATCAAACGTCAACAACCATTTCTTTCCTAACTTCTTCCAACAGCGCTTATTACTGACGAGTTTTATCTAAGATGTTAGTTTCTACCATCCAAATGCACAAGAAAAGCATCTTAATTAAACTGGAATAACTTTACTTATCGTTAGCTAGAACGCTTAAGTAATACACTCGAGAATGACTTTTGCCAATTTTAAATATAAGATTGGAAAACTGATAAAGATGGAATAAAATATACGTTTAACAAAAGTAATTCCAAATCTTATCTTAAATTTAATTAAATATTTTTAATTAAATATAAAAAAAGTAAAATTAAAATAATTAAAAATAAAATTCTCTACATTCGTAAATAACACCACGTTTTTCGCTAAATAAAATTTTAATGTATAATTATATATACAAAAAAATATTTAACACTGCAAATACTTTCAAAAAAAATGTGCAAAATTCTTCTCCGTAAAATAATAAATGAAATCGTTACATGTCAGTATAATGTAATCAGCTTTTTATATGTCGTTATTTCATCTTCATTACTTAGCTCTTCAATTATCAAGCTCAACTGTTATGCGTGCAGTTTGCGGCGCCCCGATAAACCACCCTCGGAAATCCCCCAGTCTAGCGAACACCAGCCCCGAAAAATATTCCGACCACGAAAGCTTAACATCTCGGGGGTGGTATTATCCGCGAGTGGTGGCGGGCAAATCCCTCGGTTCTGCACGAAGCAACGCTTGGCTGGAGCAGATTGGTGAAGGAGATCAACGAAGTGGGCAGCGACGACCCTGCGCTTCCTAGTTAAGTTTAATCAGCCGTAGTTATCCCGGGCCGTTTTACTACGGCTGTACTTTGATGCGAGAGACACACTTAATGGCACCTATCCTCGCGAGGAATTGATGCGATTGGAAACTCACTGTAAAACCCGCCGCTAAACCACGCGACAAAGTTGTGCGCCGTGTCGTCGGGCGAATAGACACGCATTAATAAATGCACCAGAGTTCGAGAAGCACGACCCTGATATATCGTCGTTCGCACAAAGTTCTGCGAACTTACGGGGATCAGACACGATCGTATTACCGCCAAAGACATTTCTATGCAACTCGGGCAGTACATATGCACGTAAGGATCAATTTCAAAATATCAAAATTCTTCGTTATTATATTATTTGTATTTCATAACAGACTAACTGTATAAAATATGTATGCATAAAATTGCATATTATATAGACAAAAATACAATTTTAACAATAATATTAAAAAATATTGTAATTCAAGTATCACTGATTTATTTTTATTTATGTAGTAGAAATGCTCTTATTTTTTAACGAAATACATATATATATATATATATTACACAATACTAGTAATTAATTATGTATATACGAAAAAATTGCAACGAAGAAAATTAATTTTAAAATTGATTCCTCCTTGCAAAAATAAGTTGAATTAAAATTTTAGGACTCACCGTTGTTGATTATTATTCGCGACAGGCATAGGAGTCGGGACTCTCGGAGGTGGAACTGGTATAGCTTTTCTTCGACCTCCATTAGTTTGATGCACCGTTGGTGTTACTCTTCCGGTTGATGCTATTCGACCGGCGGTTCGTGGTCTTTCTGTCCGCATCTCCATAATATATATCTGTAAAAGACAAAATCAAATATTTGATTATTTTCAAGAAAATATGTTTTGTTATTAAGTATCGTTATTAAAATATTTTCAAAAATTATATCAGAAGTAGATTCATTTATCTAAAAATAATTTGTTTTGCATGCTGTTGTAGTTGTGACATGTATTTATACTTTTTTATTCAATAATTATAGATATTTTGTTTATCAAAAGTATATTATTTTAGAATCAAAAATAAAATAAATAGAAAATTGTCAGCAAAAGTTCAACGCAGACGTATATTACGCTTATCGTAACTTTAGCAGTATAACATAAAAGATCACAGAAATGATGATAAACTTTAGAAAGAGTGAATATTTGGAAAGGACTGACAAGAAACACGAAAAAGAGACTACCAGTCGGTACGACTACCAACGTTAAAACTTCTAGTAGTAATGTAGTTCGTTTCACAGTTTGCCTCTCTCTGTGCGTCTGTTTCCCTTCGTTTATTCAAACTAGTTTAACGCGCCAAACGGAGAGATCTGAATACAATTCAATAGCATTACCATTAACTCTAAGAATATTATGAAATATATCCACGCAAAGGATATTTGAAAAAAAGTTAAATAAATATATGTATGCGATGACACAATTGTTCTTCTTAAATTTATCAAAAATATACACAAATAAGATATATGTACAGAAGAAAGGAAAAATTATTGAGAGTTATCTACCATCGTCTTTATCTGCAACCACAAAAAAATCTTGAAAAAAGTGACATTTGATCCTTGATGAATCGCGATATGAAGGAAATTCGCGAATGGTGCTTTCCATACCCGACCACCCTCTCGCTTGATGGAAGAAAGAAGCGCGTCTGTATACAATCTCGCCGGTAGTGCAACATTGTTGTCGCGGATGTTTTAGCATCGCGGGCGAGAGAATGCGGCCGACGCGATGGCGGCAAAGAAGGAAACAAGTAGAAGGAGAGGAAGAGGGTAGAAAACGACGGCCGAGGTGATCATTATTTCCCGACGTGTGTAGAGTCCACCGAGATGGGGATGCCGGCGAAACAATGCGCACTAGCAAGTTGGTTTAAATATTCAGTCTCCGGCACGGATGCAACAACTTGAGTCGTAGCCGTGCACGAAGTAAAGATACAAGAAGGATATTTCCTGAGCAATTCTAATGGAGGTGAAAACTACGACAGAGTGATGAGACAATATTAAAAATATTAACAATATATATATATATAGAGAGAGAGAGAAAAAGAGATAATGGAAGCTTAGAGCCTCAAAAATATTTTAATATCCTTATCATCTTTTTCATATTTTTTCTTTTTATATGTTGCTACTTATATCCCCCCAAAAATCTACAATTATCTATCTCAAAAAATTTCATTGCAGAAAATAAATTTTTTTTATGCTCTCAAGATATATATTTAGTCACTAAAAATTATTTGTGAAATTTTTTAACCTCGCGATGTAAAGTAACTTCTTCTTTCGCTACTCATATTCTCTTTTTCTTCTCCTCCTCCTCCACCCCGAATTTTCTCTTTCGCGCATATTTTCTCGCGCGGGAATGAAGATTTCACGATTGCACGGATTCGCGCGCAGAAAAAATTTATTTCGCCACGCGAGCGGAGGCAAAATATCGCGATGTCAGGCGTCTCTCGGAGACGAGCCGGCAAAATAAACTCTCCCGCGAGAGCAACAGAGCCATATACACCAAGCCGGCGGCTTCACAATGGGGAGCATCTGCTTAGCAAATTGCGAAAAATAATAACGTTTACGCCCGTGGCCTCGAGCACTGTAGGAGTCTGCGAAGCTGCCGCGGTATACATCGTAACACAATAACGCCCACTCGTGAAACTACGAACACGCAGATCGAGGAGGGTGAATGCGAAAACGGACGGCAAGGCGGAACGAGGGTGAGAGAGGTGCAAAACGAGCGCTGTACAAGCTCCCCCTTCGCGACAGTGCACCCGCGAAAACAATATGTCACGCATATACATGGAGGATCGTCACACCGAGTCGCTCAGCCGAAGGCGATTCCGGGATTTCTTTGTGACCCTCACTTCCGCACCTTTGACAGCGAATGCATCGCCATCAACCATGCGTACATCCTGCCGAGAATACTGTCGAGAAGAAGCGCGAAGTTCTAAGTTGATCGATTCCCATTAAATCGTCAGATATTACAGAATTCTAGCTGTCTTCATTGCTTCGCAAAAAAAAATCATTTTGCGTTGAGAATTTCAAATAAAATTAGAATAAAACAATTTTTTAGAGGCAATGTATGCGACGATGATGCTGTGTTTTTCGATAAATTGACGATTACTTTGTCCAGATTATACGCTGAAAATGGTTTAAAAGGTAAATCGAAACGTACAAGTTAACATGTAAATTTATAATACTTAGTAAAATTTTAAAAATCTCTTCTTAAATTATTATTAATTAAATAATCAATTCGCTTCAATAATTGCAATTGGTTCTATTGCCTCTAAAAATTGTTTTATTATAATTTTCCATAAGAGCCTTCTTACCTTTCATTTATGTTTTAAATAAAATATAACATATACTATGTCACATTACAATGTAATATTTTGTAAATAATTTTCTTATTTAAATATATTATAAATTTTCTCTAAAATGTATGAAAAATTAAAAATATCTTCTATGTATCAATATGAATGAAATACCCACTTTTATACCAAAAAGAGACGAAAGCTAATCAAGCTTGTAATTTCATTGATAAGAATTTAATAGACCATTTACGTTGTCATTATAAACCAGAGAATACGTGAATACACATCTAAATTATTGATTCTCCTATCGCTGGCGTTTAGTGGAAACGTGCGGCCGATGTTTAATGCGACATAATACGCTGGCATGACTAATTCATGCCATTATCGTTGACGCTAATCGCCATCTATCTGCGAGGATAATGAATACCGCAAATTAATAACGTTCGATTGACACATAACGTCCGAGCTTCATCCGTCGAACGATGTGCACATTGTGTTCCTAACAAGAGCGCGCTTCCCAACCCTTCCCTTTAACTCTTTCACTGATACGCACGCATGTTGCACGTTCGATCGTTCGTTATATGCGAGTGCATATCTTCCAGTGAAGTTGGAAAAAGATCCTTAACGAGAGAAGATGCTTTCGATTGATAGGCAGAATCAAATCCCCGAATAATTGTTCATGTTTAATGGAAACGAAGAAATGTTTAATGCATTGTAATGAATTCGTACATTACTATTGATGCTTATCCGTTTTATCATACCGTTTATCATTGTAACTCCTATGAACGTAATAAATTAATTACAAATAATTCGTTGTATTTTTCACTATATAATGCATTTTACAGACTCCCATAAGTTTTATATACCTACATATATATAATATTTGTATATAAAAATTTATATCGTTAAGGAATAAGAAAAAACACTTATTGCATTACATTAACAAAAAAAAACATTATCTGTCGTTTCATTCTTGTTATACTAATAATGTTTAAGAGAGAATTGTATATTAGTTTGATTACTTCATGCATTAATCAACGAAGCTGATCATTATACGAGCGAGAAATTAATAACGATTAATTGATATATAATATTCCTAACCAGAATAGATTTCACAATCTCTTAATTTCTTCATATCCACATAGTCGTTCATTAAGCGCGCGCTTTCGGGGATCGGGATGAAAAAAATGTTATTAACGAGTGAGGAAAAAAAGGAGGAAAGGGAAGAAAGATATATTTCGTTTCTCGCGCGAGAGGGAGAAAGACGACGCGTATTCAAAGGAGAATTTATCGGCGATATTTCTCGACCGGGCAATGTCGACGTCGCGCAACATCGGCTTCTGTCGATTCCTATTAATCATCGGCGCACAACTGTGCGTACCCGTATCAACACGCGGCCGAAGATACATGCCGGGAGTTTCTCATGCCGCGACGCGATCGCCACATGTGACCATGGTCCGACGTTCTCATGGCGATCGCATATCGGAACATCACGTGCACGACACGCGTATAACCAGCCTGTTTTTCTAGTATATCTCTGGACCACACAATAAAAAGTATATACATTTTTTCCAGTCTCTAATTCACAAATTAAAAACATTAATTTCATATAAATTTTATAGAGTTTTCATTTATTTAGTATCTTTTGTATACTTACAATTTATCTGTGTATTGTTGAGATACTCATATAAATGTAAAAAATAATATATGGAAGCATTTAATTTGGATACGCGAATTTAAATTAAAAAGAGAATGCAATATGTATTATAATTTCAAGATTTTTTTTACAATTTAATTATTAAATATTTTAATTGATAAGAAACTTTTTTCTTTCATACGTATACATATATAAAAATTATCTATAATTATACTCTACATGGTTAGTATTTTTCAACTGTATTCTTTGATGTCGTTTTCGTTATTTTACTTATATTCATCACGTGCAGAAAGTTTCCCATCACCCCTGATGTTTGTTTAAGCAAGTAAATGATCTATGTATCTTGTCCCGAGACGAACGAGCAGACTTTATAAATTCGGGACAAATTAGTTTATCTTCGGGCGATGTTTACTATACACTAAAAAGCCAACCGAACCGCACAGCCCACCCACACACAGCTATATCAAAGGCTCCGCTAAAAATATAACGCGTTTCTCATCGCAACAGTCCTTCCCGCTTTTTCTTAACTTTGCCTCCCTCTAGTCGGTTCCGGAAGTTGATTTAGAATATGAAAAGCGTAATTGTACAGGAATATTAATAATGATTTTTTAGACTAAAGTTGAATGGAGTAATTACTAGCAAGTGCATAATTAATAGCGTGCATCGATTGGATGCACATTAGTGCGTATCGCACTCATTCAGTTTGCTGTATTCGGATAATATTAAAAATGATACAAAAAACTGAGTAAAGGCGCATTTAATGCATATAATATTAAGGCATTCAATTGAATTTATATAATTTGAAAAAATATTAATATTAATATAATGATTAATATTTTATGGAAAAATATTGCA